CATTTATATGAAATTAGTAGACCCTTAAACTGATAAAAAAAAAAAAAAAAAAACTGTGAGTATGAATTTAAGTATGTAATAAAGGAATAATTAATACGCACACCACAAAGTCACTTTCCTGAGATTCGAACCCGGGTCTACATAGTCGGAAAGCGAACATTCTAACCATTGCGGCCGGAGAGTCGAATTCTATTTCCAGTTCGGTCATTGCATTACTTTACGTTCAAATGTCCTTGGGAAAACTATGAATCCATCTCACCCCCAGATATGGGTTAAATATTATTACTTGTATCTCAAAAAAAAAGTTATTTTCTCTAAAAAATATTTTAGTGCAATATTCTCTCAAAACAAAAATAATTAGAATCTAAAATATGTTTCGGTTTTAAATAACCCAAAAACTGTTGATAAGCCGTAAAAATTCATTCAACTTACGGGTTGAATTTATTGCTTTTAAAAGTCATCAGTAGCAAATCGTAACTTCTCGTTTATTATGATGTCAGGCAGTGATTGATAACATTTGTGGAATCACCCGTTTCCGAAGATATTTTGTTTTGGAAATTTGTCTTAAGCCAGTGAAACGGCTCGAGATTAATTAACAAAACATTTAATTCAATAATGTTCTTTAACGGGCGAAATAAATATTTATGTTAACACACACACACACACACACGCACACACATATATATATATATATATATATACTAAAATTTAGAAATGAACAATAAAATTATATTTGGTTTGGTGCATAATTATCAGGCGTTTTTTGTCAGTGAATAATTTGTTAATAAAAATTGCTGTTTTGTTTACTTTTTTAAATAAAAATATTATTTTATTTTAAGGTTATAAAAATGCGTGTTGATAATCATTCGCTCCGGAATAATCATTTAAAAATGAAAATTATGCATCAACCCAATAAAAATTATTGCTGGTAATAATTTTTTTATAACAAAGTATTTCTGGTATTAAAACCTATTTTTACACAAATTTGAGTGTTAACTATTTGCCCATAGCTGGGACCCTAACAGGTGCTACTACCTGGTGTCATGGTGGAACAATTAAAAGGTGATTCCACGCTCCTCAAAACCTCCTGATCTGAGTCCTTGCTGTTAGGCGTAGTTTATCGTCTTACACAGGACGCGGATGTAGTTTTCGTCATACCCAGGACGAGATATGAAATTGTGGAGAGCAATTATCGCCAACGACATGAAGAGTCACGGCATATAGAAAAGACTGAGTATGAGTAAATGGATGAGGGAATAAGGTTTAGGAGATATAATAAAAAGACAAAATTACCAAGAGCTACAAAGGGAAAGAAAATGTGGAGGGCCATGTTCTCCAAGAAGAATGTGCTTGAGTAAATGGATGGTGGAATAAAGTTTAGGAGAGATAACAATATGACAAAATTTAATAATAGATACAAAAGATAAGAAAATGTGGAGAGCCAACAACAGACAGGAAAGGGTGGAGAGCCATGATCGACAACATCTTGAAGGGAAACGGTGCATAGAAGAAGAATGAGCCGAATTAATGTATGGCGGGACGAGATTTAGGGAAGATAACAAAAAGACAAAATTTATTAAGAGCAACAAAGGACAGGAAAGGGTGGAGAGCCATGATCGACAACGTCTTGTAGGGACACGGTGCAGAGAAGAAGAATGAGCCGAATAATGTATGGCGGGACGAGATTTAGGGAAGATAACAAAAAGACAAAATTTATTAAGAGCAACAAAGGACAGGAAAGGGTGGAGAGCCATGATCGACAACGTCCTGTAGGGACACGATGCAGAGAAGAAGAATGAGCCGAATTAATGTATGGCGGGACGAGATTTAGGGAAGATAACAAAAAGACAAAATTTATTAAGAGCTACAAAGTTAAAGAAATTGTGGAAAGCCATGATCGCTAATGTCTTGTATGGACACGGCAAATAGAAGAAGAAGAAGAAGAAGAAGAAGAAGAAGAAGAAGAAGAAGAAGAAGAAGAAGTTAAACGCTGAAATATAGAAGAAAGAAAGTCATCTAAAACTTCCTGATAATATCTGTGTGCGTAATAGGGTCTGCCATTTCTCTTTCAGCAGTTGGCCCGAATTTCTGATATATTTGTGAATTCATATCGAGGCTGTTGTTTTTCTTAAATGAATTGCAGACAGTTCATTATTCAAAGTCTCGTTACGAACGTTGCTTATCGAGGTCAGTCGAGAACGTATTTTTCACTCCAGACACTGACAACAGCAGCAAAGAGGCTGCGTTTCGGTTCACTGGGTGCAGTGTGAAGCAAATTAGTTTTCAATGCTTCAATGATTTTAACAAGATTTTAAGTATTAACTTGGCAGACGGTGGGTGAGATAGATAGCGATGGAGCGTAACAGTAGTAGAGAGGGAGGGAGAGTGGAAGTAGAAAGAATAATAGAGGAGAGAGAGGGAAAACAGAGAGAGAGGGAGAGAGATTGTAGACAAATAGAAGAGAAAGAAATACTGGAAAGAGGAGAGAGAGGGAGAAAAAACAGAGTGAGAGTAAAGAAATAGAAGCGAGCGGAAGACACAGTGGAGTGACTACGAACGGTAGTGGGGAGAGATGAGAAACAGAGAGAGAGAGAGAGAGAGAGAGAGTAGAGATATAGAAGAGAGAGGGGGAGACAGTAGAGAAATAGGGAACGAGAGAAAAAGGTAGAGGGAGAGGGGGTGAGAGAGAGAGAGAGAGAGAGAGAAAGGCGGAGTAGAGAAATAGAAGAGAGAGGGAGTGGAAGGAGAACGAATTTAAGATGAGAGAGATGCGAAACAGAGAGAGAGAGAGAGTAGAGATATAGAAGAGAGAGGGGGAGACAGTAGAGAAATAGAAGAAGTAAGGGAACGAGAGAAAAAGGTAGAGGAGAGGGTGAGAGAGAGAGAGAGAGAGAGAGGCGGAGTAGAGAAATAGAAGAGAGAGGGAGTGGAAGGAGAACGAATTTAAGATGAGAGAGATGAGAAACAGAGAGAGAGAGAGTTGAGAAAATAGGAGAGAGATCGAGAGAAAGAGAATATATAGTTGGACGAAACGGAATGGTACAGGATAGAGCAAGAGAGAGATGATACAGAGAGAGAAGGTACAGAAAGCAAGGTATGAAAAAGGTAGAAGAGAGTGAAGATAGAGAGAGAGAGAGAGAGAGAGAGAGAGAAAAGGGGAGAGAGAGAGGAGAAAGAGAAAAGAAGAAGAGAGTGAGATAAAAAGTGGAGTGAGTGAGTAAGAAAGAGAGAGTTGGTCGGTTTTATGACACGTCAACACTTGTCGGGTTATTGAATGCTGAATGTTGTACGGAGCACCCAATGAGGATCGAACTCACTATTCAGCAATAATGGTTACCGTGAACAGACTAGATAAACATTAAACTTCGCCGAGGTGTCCAAATAAAAGAAGCAGATAGATAGATAGATAGATAGATAGATAGATAGATAGATAGATAGAGAGAGAGAGAGAGAGAGAGAGAGGGGGGGTATAGCGTAATAGTAGAGAGTGTGGTGAGAGTAGGTAGAAAGCTGATATAGAGTGATGAGAGAGAGAGAGAGAGAGAGAGAGTGGTAAGAGGAGAGAGGGAGCGGATAGAGCGAGATAAAAGAAAGTGATGAGAGAAGAGAGAAATCTGGTATAGCCTGATAAGAGAGAGAGAGATAGGGAGAGTGAGAGAGGGAGGGAGGGAGAGAGAGAGAGTGGCCAGAAAAAAAGAAAATGTGGTTTAATCGTGATAAGATAGAGTGAGTTGTGGAAAGAGAGAGAGCGGATATAACGTGATAAAAGAGAGAGAGAGACTGGTGAGAGGGCAGAGAAAGTGGGTATAGCCTGATAAGAGAGAGAGAGCGAGAGAGAGAGAGAGAGAGAGGGTATATCGTGATAAGAGAGAGGATGGTGAGAGAAAAGTAACCTATAAGATATAGGCTTAGAGGGAGACCGAGATAATACAGGGAATAAAGAAAGAAAGAAAGAAAAAAAAGAGAAAGAGAGTCTGTTAGAGAGAGAGAGAGAGAGAGAGAGAGAGAATGTGCAAGTGTTAGAGAATGAGAGTGACAATGAGAAAGAGACATTTTACAGCTACCATTCCTGTTAATACTTACATAATTTAAAGAAAATTGCTGCTTTATGTTGTACAATAAGACAGCGACATGTTTATATACTAGTAGAATAACTCGTCATTGACCGGGTCTTTCATTTTTGCCGTTCAATTGGAGCAGTTCAAATTTGAAATCAGCCCACCCGAAAATCAATAGTACTAACAACAATTGGATGCAACTGAGGCACATTCCCCAAAGGGGGGGGGGTAACAATATGAATAGTGGTGGCCCTGAAAAGGGAACTGCATAATAATAAATAATATTATTGTAATAATTTAAACTATTTATTTTTTATTAAAGTTTTATAAAAGATATATATCCAAGAACAGATAGTAAATAATAATACGTTGCTGAGAGTTATAATGGAAAGGAAGTAGTGGAGAGCCATTGTCACCAACAATTTGGACTCAAAACCGGCACTGAAGAATTATCTATGAACCAAAAAAATTCATCGAAATCGGCTGAAAACTGTGGAAATGGATAGCAACCAATCACACACACATTTTGAGAATTATAGATATATATAATTCATATGAAGGGAGTTGATTTCAATATTACTGATATTTTGTAATCATTAAAAATCTATTTAACGGCATAATGTCGCTTGATATAGCCTCATAAAAAGTGTTTGATAATGGGCGATTTTATTTAACAAGTAAACGAAATGTCGTACTGATGAGTAATATACCTAAACAAACAACCAGCCAATCCAAATTTTTTATGTTTGCCTCGCACAAATAAATTATATTTTTAGAAACTATCCTACTTTACCAACTTGCTTGACACAGGGTCAGATAAAAAGAAAATTTCAAAAAGCGTGTAGGAGGTGGTTGAATGTTTTCGCTTTGCGACAGTGCTTATGGAAAAGGAAGAAGACATTTTTACACAGCAATAAAAGCATCAGCAGCTCCAACATAGATATGAAATTAAGTAAAGGTATTTTATTTAATGACAATAAAGAAATATTATTTTTAACCCGTGAAAATTTCACGGTTTTCCGATTTTTATATTCTGATAAATCTTAATTCTTAAGGTAATGATTGAATAAGCTCGAATCGTTTTACCAAGAATCTCTAAATCTATCTATCTATCTATCTATCTATCTATCTATCTATCTATCTATCTATCTATCTATATAACTTTAAAAATCAGGAGGTCAGTTAAATCCACTGATTCAACTGACCTTCTGATTTTTAAAATTAAAAGCTGTACGTGTTATTTTTACTTTTATCTTATTTTTTCACACGCGTATTGGGCACTTTTTAATACTACTGTTTCTTAGTTTGATTCAACTCTGACCATTAACCTTCTATCTATCTATCTATCTATCTATCTATCTATCTATCTATCTATCTATCTATCTATCTATCTATCTTATCCATCTATCATCTATCTATCTATCCATCCATCCCATCCATCTATCTATCTATCTATCCCATTATTCTATCCATCCATCTATCCATCCATCTATCTATCTATCTATCTATTCATTATCTATCCATCTATCTATCCATCCATCCATCTATCTATCTATCTCATTATTCTTATCTATCTATCTATCTATCATCTATCATCCATCCATCCATCTATCTATCTATTCTTATATCATCCATCTATCTATCTATCTATCTATCTATCTATCTCATTATTCTTATCTATCTATCTATCTATCTATCTCATTATTCTTATCTATCTATCTATCTATCTATCTATCTATCTATCTATCTATCTATCTCATTATTCTTATCTATCTATCTATCTATCTATCTATCATCTATCTATCTATCTCATTATTCTTATCTATCTATCTATCTATCTATCTCATTATTCTTATTCATCTATCTATCTATCTATCTATCCATCCATCTATCTATCTCATTATTCTTATCTATCATATCCATCTATCTATCTATCTATCTATCCATCTCATCTATTATTATCTATCTATCCATCCATCTATCTATCTATCTCATTATCATTATCTCCATCTATCTATCTATCTATCCATCTATCTATCTATCCATCCATTCTTATCCTATCATCCATCCATCTATCCATCCATCTATCTATCTATCTATCTATCTATCTATCTCATCCATCCATCCATCCATCTATCTATCTATCTATCTCATTATTCATCCATCTATCTATCCATCCATCCATTATCCATCCATCTATCATATCATTATTCATTATCTATCCATTATCCATCTATCCATCATTATCCATCTATCCATATCTATCTCATTATTCTTATCTATCTATCTATCTATCATCCATCTATCTATCTCATTATTCTTATCTATCTATCTCATCCATCTATCTATCTATCTATCTATCTCATTATTCTTATCTATCTATCTATCCATCTATCCCATTATTCTTATCCATCTATCTATCTATCCATCTATCTATCTATCTATCTATCTCATTATTCTTATCTATTATCTATCTATCTATCATTATCTATCTATCTATCTATCTATCTATCTATTATCTATCTCATATTCTTATCTATCTATCTATCTATCTATCTATCATTATTATATCTATTATCTTATCTATCTATCTATCTATCTATCTATCTCATTATTCATTATCTATCTATCTATCTATCTATCTCATTATTCTTATCTATCTATCTATCTATCTATCTATCTATCTATCTCATTATTCTTATCTATCTCTCTATCTCTCTATCTCTCTATCTATCTATCTATCTGTTTCGGTCTGTTCATATCTATCTATCTATCTATCTATCAGATTGAATAAATTGCTGACATTATGTCTGTTAATTTTTAATAAAATCCATTCATACTCACGAATAAACTTCCGTGTCTTGATGTTAAAGGATGAGAGAAATGTGTTATCGCTGTTTAAATTTCTTTTATTTTCATTTGCCAAGTACTTTCGATCTTCTTCCAAGATCATCTTCAGCGGTGCAAGTAGTACAAAACTGTATGTTGTTCATTGGTATAAGTATTTATATATTGTCTGTAATTTATTCAATCAGATCGGGCCTAAAAGAGATTTTGATGCCTAAATACACACACACACGCACACACACACACACATATATATATATATAAAGAATATATCTAAATATAATAATTAACCATGTTTTTAATCGTTTACTCCGCCCTGCAAGAAAAGAAAGGCACTTAGACAAGAGTTTAATGAGTGTGTGAGAGAATATGAGAGAAAGAAAACATTATTAAGGAAAGAAAACAATGAAAGAAGAGGAATTAAGAAGATAGAAGATAACGATTATGAATATAATTTCAAAAAGTGTCAATATATTTAACACAAAATCAAAATATTTTGGAATCAAATTTAATGATTTTGGTTGAAAATCTTGAACTTCTTCCTGATTGGATCTTTCAAAAAGATAATGATCCTAAGCATACTCCAAGATCTACGTAGAAATGGCTTGCTTAATATGATGTGTGGGAATAAAATAAAAATACAAAATTAAATAAAAGTACAAAATTAAATAAAAGTACAAAATAAAATAAACATTAAAATCTCCCAGGAGTCCTCTGACAGGAAAGACAATTTACGCATGTGCAAAAAAATAGAGATTTCCTGGCGCCAAAGATAAACTAGAAGAATCTGCCTCTTTCTCGGTTCGACCTTTGACTGGTGAACACGTGCCAACTGTTCGGGAAGGAAATTCCCCAACAAGAGCTCGTTGGAATCCAAAAGATGGAAATAAAATCAGTGTCCTAAATTGTCCCTCTAGTGTCTCTGTATCCTTCCGTCTTTTCTTTGTCAATTTATTTCAGCGACGAAGACATTCAACAAGTTTTGGATGTTTAGGTGAAAGAATCAACCCAGCACTAATAGCCATAACATCCATAGATGTAAGTATCCAGAAATGGCCAAGTCAGTCTTCAGATTTAAACCCAATATTTAAACCCTGTACATATGATAAGGAAGAAATAGGAAACGTTTATAAATTTAATGACATATTTGTATATAAAAACGCGTAAGAAAATAAACACTTAAATTTGTCCTTATAACGTCCCCCGAAAGAACAGTATTCTCACCCGTCTCTTTTTATTCATATTTAATGATATAAACCTCTTACGATTTTACAGTTAATCCTTATAATTCAAATATATATATATATATATATATAAATATCATTAGGTTGTATCATAAATAATTTTCTTTTTTTTCTTTATCAACTTTTTGTCAAAAAATGAAGTACAGTGTTTTTTACGAAACATTTCAGGCCAAGCAAGGTGTCGGAGTTAACTCCTCCTTAATTTCCCAATTGTCAAAATTGTCCCTAGGGGACGCTATCCCTAAATTATATATACTTGAGAATACTTCGCTCTCTCTTTCACTTCCCGCGAACAACGACCATGTAAGCCCTCGCAGGAGATATGTGTTCCCACTTGTGGGAAGACGCCATGAACATTACACACAAACATGCACGCACTTATGTACGAACATTCACTCACGCATTTTTTGGGACACAAAATTTACACAATTATTTGTTACACATACACATTATTATTTTTGTAATTTGTATCCGTTTGTTTGTTAATAATTGTATATCTATCTATCTATCTATCTATCTATATATATATATATATATATATATATATATATATATATATATATTTCTTTATATTTTAAGACATTTTTATGTTTATACATTCTTTTATAGATACAAATATTTAAGTAAATGCTCTATTTATCTATAAAAAGAATGTATAAACATAAAATATCTTAAAATAATTGTCGGACTTTGTCCATTTCATAATTTCTTTATACACACACATACATATACAGAGATAGAGCGTATGTAAATATAAATTTAAAAGTGAACATAGAAGTGAACATTCAGAGGCGACAGGCTGTTTCATGCTAGACGCAATCGTCAGGCCGGCATGAAACGGCCTGTCGCTTCAAGTGTTGACTTCAATGTTCACTTTTATATATATATATATATATATATATATATATATATATATATATATATATATCGGTCTTAGTTGTTTTCTTTTGCATTTCTTTTGGTTGGATTCATCTTAAGACCGCCATGTTTGTAGTGGACTTTATTTCAGGAGACCGCACGTGTTACATTCACAATGCATATTAAAACCACTACAAAGGCAATAAAGCCACTACAAAGGCAATAAAGCCACTAAGACACAAGGGATTATTCAGTGTTGAAGAATAAGAATAAGAAAAAGAAAGACACTATTAATGAGCGAGAGCAATAAAAGAAGAGGAATCAAGAAGACAGTAGATAACGATCGACGTTGTATTTAATTTATGGGAAATCAGAGTTTCCAGGAAAGCATGGTGGCAGAAGGTAGTTGCACAAGCGAAAAAATTAGCAAAGAACTTCTGGTTACATCTTACCATTTCAACTGTAAGATGATGAGACCTAGCTGCCAATTTAGTACTGCGCTTAAATTCATAAAGTTTAGGTACCATCGAGCGAAGAACAATTGTCGTGAAAGTATTTATATTAAAGACACAGAGAAGCGAAGCTACGACGGTAGAAAAGTGAATGAAACGAAGATGCCAGGTCAAGACCAATGACATTGCAGATTGCTCTTTGGATTTTAGCAATAATCTCTAAGTATATAGCAGGAGTAACGGGGCAATATCCAACGCATAGACGATCGTCAGACTTGTAAATATATAAGTTAGATTCTAGCACGTCACAGTGAACCAACTTTCGTAGGAGTTGACCTAGCAATAGATTCAATAAAATCTTTTCATTTTAGATCAGCAGAGAACTTTACCCCGAGAAGGCGAAACGAGTTACTTTCTTGGAGGTTAGCATCAGCCATTCTGATGGAAGGCAGAAAAGTATCTCTCAGATGGTGAATAGGAAGAAGTTTCGTTTTGGAAGCATTAAAATTAAGAAGCTTTTTCTTTGCCCCAGTTTATAACAAATTTTAGATCAATTTTGAGATCAGCTACCAATTTGACTTCATCGAAAACGACCAGACTTGCTATTAAGACAGGAGTAAATAGTTATGTCATCATTTTATTCAATTATATATTACCTTTATTTACAATGATATCTTGCCATTTATAATGCAGCAATTCGATACGCTTTGAATAACATTCCACTGGTTTCAAGTGGAAAGTAATTTCAAGTTATTTGGAAAATAATGTCGGATTTGGGAATAAATATTTGATAAAATATATTATTCTAACAGTTGCAGAAAAATATATAATTCATTCTTAATGATTAAAGTCTACTATTTGTTAATTTTATATAAATCTCCTACAGAATGTTGTTCGTAAATAACTGTCGCACCCTGTGTTGATTGACAAAAACAATGAAATATAGAACAGAACGAAAACTAAAAAAATAACAAATTAAAACAAGTTTAAAAAATGTTGCTGGTTTGTGTGTGTGTAATAGTTGTATTATCAGAATTCATAGGGAGTTGACCTAGCAATGGATTCAATCTAATCTTTTCACTTCACCTCAGCAGAGATCTTTACCCCGAGAAAGTGCAACGAGTAACTTTCTTGGAGGTTAGCATCAGCCATTCTGATGGAAGGCAGAAAAGTATCTCTCAGATGGTGAATAGGAAGAAGTTTCGTTTTGGAGGCATTAAAATTAAGAAGTCGTTTCTTGCCCCAGTTAACAACAGATTTTAGATCAGCTACCAATTTGACTTCATCGAAAACGAAACGATCATACTTACTATTAAAACAGGAGTAAATGGTTATGTCATCAGTATTTTATTTAATTATATATTCACCGTTATTTATAATGACATCTTGTCCCTTATCAGACATCAGTTCGATAGGCTTTGAATAACATTCCTCAGGTTTCAAGTGGAAATAATTTTAAGTTAATCGGAAAATAATGTCCGATTTTTGAATAAATATTTTGTTCTAATATATTATTCTAGTAGTTGCAGAAAAATATATATAACTCGTTCTTAATGATTAAAGTCTCCTCTCTGTTAATCTTATATCAATCACCTTCCGAATTCTGTTCTTAAATAATTGACGCATGTTGCAAGTAACAAAAACAACCAATATACAAGAGAAAAACAACGAAAAAAACATTAAAAGAAATTACAATAAGAAAATGTCTGGTTTGTGCGTAGGAGAGTGTAACAAACGTGTGTCATAGAAACGTGTGTGTGTGAGAGAGGTTTTCGCTTTACTCACGCGCGACTACATCTAAAAGCCAGAGCCAAAAAACCAAAAAGAGACTAAGAATATAATTGCCTATTAAAAGTTTAAAGAGCGCCTCCTAGAGATCGCTCTTGGCAGGGCCATGAGGGGTAACCCCCATTTGCAGACGAAAATAGCATTGGTTTGTTCGGAAAATACTGTCCGATTTTAGAATCAACTTTTTAAATGTCTTGTAATATAACATAGTAATCGCTACACCAAAATATATTAGTCATTCTTAATGATTCAAATAAAGTCTTTGTCAATTTTAGATCAAACTCTTTCAGAATTTAATTTAAACCTTTTATATTCCCCTCAACTTGAATACGAAAAAATACGAGATGGGTTATCTTTTTTGTATTTCAGACTTGGTCATAATGCTTTTTGTGATCGGACAATATGGCGTTGACTTTTGAAGTTCCGCAGTTGGAATACGACTCTCGAAGATCAACAAGATGACAGAAACCCCCCATCTGCAACAGACATTCAACATCTGAAAACAGTAATCGAATAAAACCTACGTCAAAGTGTCAGGGAAATTTTCAGGTGAGATTAGTTGGAATTTCGAATTCAGAACCCTGTACTGAACTCAAAACTTTTTGGGCCAAGTCACTTTTGGATTAATCAACTGACGCTTTTATCCACTGGACCAAAACATTGTGAATATGAGAATAAAGATGATGACAACAGCCCGAACAATGTAAATAGTAACAATACATCATCGCATAAATATTGGTAGACCCTGAAGAAGGTCGGACGTTATAATGGACGAACCGACGCGAATATGAAAATAAAGAAAAAGGACAACAGTCCAAACAACCGTAAATGGCCGAAATTGTGAGAAAAAGATGAGGACAACAGTCCGAACAATCTAAATATTTTCATCGCATAAATATAGACTGATACTGAAGAAGGCCGGACCGTATAATGGCCGAAACGTCGTGAATATGAGAATAAAGATAAGGACAACAGTCCGAACAATCTAAATATTGTAAAAAGTTACAATACCTCATCGCATAAATATAGACTGATACTGAAGAAGGCCGGACCGTATAATGGCCGAAACGTCGTGAATATGAGAATAAAGATAAGGACAACAGCCCGAACAATCTAAATATTTTATATCGTTACAATACCTCATCGAATAAATATAGACTGATTCTGAAGAAGGCCGGACCGTATAATGGCCGAAACGTCGTGAATATGAGAATAAAGATAAGGACAACAGTCCGAACAATCTAAATATTGTAAATAGTTACAATACTTCATCTCATAAATATAGACGGATTTTGAAGAAGGCCGGACCGTATAATGGCCGAAACGTCGTGAATATGAGAATAAAGATAAGGGCAACAGCCCGAACAATCTAAATATTTTATATCGTTACAATACCTCATCGAATAAATATAGACTGATTCTGAAGAAGGCCGGACCGTATAATGGCCGAAACGTCGTGAATATGAGAATAAAGATAAGGACAACAGTCCGAACAATCTAAATATTGTAAATAGTTACAATACTTCATCGCATAAATATAGACAGATGGTGTCAGAAAAATGTCTCAGATAATATGTGTCAGCATTTCAACAAGATCGGAGCATCTCAAGAGAATTGGCAAAGTGAAGAATCCCGATAAATGTGTTCCATGGGAACTCAGTGAAAGTCAAAGTGTTCAATGCTGAATCTGATGTATTCGAATGACCCATTTATCGATCGAATAGTGACATGTGATGAGAAATGGATCCTTTATGACAGTCGTGGACGATGGACTCAATGGTTTTATCGTGACGAAGGACCGAAACATAATCTAACACTGAAATTGTACCAACAGAAGATTTATGGTAACTGTGTGATCGTCCGCCATTGGTGTTATCTGAGATTAAACTAAAGAATCCCTAGCTGGTGTTCACTGCCAACAAATGGATGAAATGCAAATTCTCTTCAGGACATTAGCGATCATGGCTCTTCACAATTTCCTGTCCTTGACAACTCTTAATAAATGTATTTTTGTTATCTCCCCTAAACCATGTCCTGCCATCCATTTACTCAAGCTCGCCAGGGCTATATCTTGTGTTCCTCTGGCCCTCTTGTATTCAATCTGTCCTGCGAGTATCAAATTTTCCAAGCTCACTTTCTACATTAGATGTCCTAGAAATTTCAATTGGTTATTCTTGATATTAAATATAAGTTTCCTTTTTGGTTCTAATATCTTTAAAATTTCTCGTATGTTTGGCCCATGGGTCCAGTTAAGCAAAGTACGACCGGCACTACTTATGCATGATACTACAGAAGCTAACCAACTTAAGAGACTTTGCCACATCCACCATATTTTTTTGATCTCTTTCACACTGACTATCATTTCTTCAAGAATCTTGACAATTTATTTCAAGCCAAAAGACATAGAAGATGCAGAAACTGTATTCAAAGATTTCTTGACAGTCGTGAACGATGGACTCAATGGTGACGAAGACCGAAACATAATCTAACACTGAAGTTGTACCAACAGAAGATTTATGGTAACAGTGTGATCGTCCGCCATTGGTGTTATCTGAGATTAAACTAAGGAATCCCTAGCTGGTGTTCACGGCCAACAAATGGATGAAATGAAAATTCTCTTCAGGACATTAGCGATTATGGCTCTTCACAATTTCCTGTCCTTGACAACTCTTAATAAATGTATTTTCGTTATCTCCCCTAAACCATGTCCCGCCATCCATTTACTCAAGATCGCCAGGGCTATATGTTGTTTTCCTCTGGCCCTCTTGTCTTCAATCTGTCCCGTGAGTATCAAATTTTCCAAGCTCCCTTTCTACATTAGAGGTCCTAGAAATTTCAACTGTTTATTCTTGATATTAAATATAAGTTTCCTTTTTGGTTCTAATATCTTTAAAATTTCTCGTTGCTCGTATGTTTGGCCCATGGGTCCAGTTAAGCAAAGTACGACCGGCACTACTTATGCATGACACAGCAGAAGCTAACCAACTTAAGAGACTTTGCCACATCCACCATATTTCCTTGATCTCTTTCAGACTGACTACCATTTCTTTAAGCATCTTGACAATTTATTTCAAGCCAAAAGACATAGAAGATGCAGAAACTGTATTCAAAGATTTCTTGACGTCCAAACCTTTGGAGTTTTATCGCAAAGGCATAGACTAACACTGATTGATGTCTTTTTTTTAATTGCTAACTCGATGGCAGAAATGTATAGCTATTCAGGGTTCTTATTTTGACTGATTTAAACAATGTTTAAATACATTAATACAGGAAGAAATGTCGAGTCTAAAATCGGACATTATTTTCCGAACAGCCTAATTGTTGTAACCTAGGGAAGGTTACTGAATAGAATAATCACACGAAGGTTGGTAATGAACGATAATACTTTGGACAAGAACAACACATATAAGATTCGCCAGAGGCGCGTAAAAGTAGTCAAATGCTAGAAGTAAGTCAAGTGAATTCCACAATGAATCTCCAACTGCAGACCAACATACAGTATTTACTACTGTATTTATGTGAATGGCGACATACCCATTACCGTCCTTAGGTATGCTACAACAATAGATAGATAGATAGATAGATAGATAGATAGATAGATAGATTTAACAGACAAATCACTTACAATAAGCAATTTTGTCGTTGCCCGTATGTTCAGTCCATGGGTCCAGTTAAGCAAAGTACGACAGGCACTGCTTAAGTCCAATTCTGCTTCCTGACAATACTCGGCTACATGCTTTCAGCATGGCACTACAGAAGCTAACCAACTTAAGAGACTTTGCGACATCCACCTTATTTCCTTGATCTCTTTCACACTGACTGCCATTTCTTGAAGCATCTTGACAATTTATTTCAAGCCAAAAGACATAGAAGATGCAGAAACTGTATTCAAAGATTTCTTGACGTCCAAACCTTTGGAGTTTTATCATAAATCATAGGCTAATCTTTTAACTCGATGACAGAAATGTATAGATACATTATTTACATTATTCGAACTATTGTCCCTATCTTTGTCGCCATATTTAGTACAACGTTTCGGCCGTTGTACGCTCCGGCCTTCTTCAGGTGGTTGGAATGTCGAACTTAACCCTTTATTTCGCTCACTGGGGTAGACTGTTCTAGTTCCACGTGCCATGTTTTTTAATGAATGTCAGTTATCAGTTCTCCTGTTAATTTCCATTTGAAAGTTCTCCACTGCACTAACCGTGTATTGAACTCACACTCTTTGGGGTCCTGTTACTGGATCTAACTAACGCCTTTATCCACTGTGCCATGTGTACTTTGGCATGTGTAACTGATAAATGACATCTATTAAAAAACATGGCACGTGGAACTAGAATATGATACCTCATCTCAGAAATATAGACAGATACAGAAAGGCCGAAAAGTTGAAATAAATATGGCGACAAAGATGAAGACAATAGTCCGAATGATGTAAATAGTGTACATAATACCTCATCTCAGAAATATAGACAGATACTGAAAGGTCGAAACGTTGTAATAAATATGGCGACAAAGATGAGGACAATAGTCCAAATAATGTAAATAGTGTACATAATACCTCATCTCAGAAATATGGACAGATGCTGAAAGGCCGAAACGTTGTGATAAATATGGCGACAAAGGTGATGACAATAGTTCGAATGATGTAAATAGTGTACATAATACCTCATCTCAGAAATATAGACTTTGTCGCCATATTTTTTACAACGTTTTGGCCTTTCAGCATCTATATTTCCGAGATGAGGCATTATGTACACTATTTACATTATTCGGACTATTTTCCTCGTCTTTGTTGCCGTATTTATCACAACGTTTCGGCCGTTGTACACTCCGGCCTTCTTTAGGTAGCTGGAATGTCGAACTGAACTCTTTATTTCGCTCGCTGGGGTAGACTATTCTAGTTCCACGTAGACTGTTCTCGTTCCACGTGCCATGCCAGGATGTCAGTTATCAGTTATCTCCTGTTAATTCGCCTCTCTAAGTTCTCCACCGCCTTAACCAGGTATTGAACTCACACTCTTTGGGTCCTGTCACTGGATCTAACTAACGCCTTCATCCACTGTGCCGTAAAAATAAAGGGTTCAGTTCGACATTCCAATCACCTGAAGAAGTCCGGAGCGTACAACGGCAGAAAAGTTATGATAAATATGGCAACAAAAATGAGGACAATAGTTCAAATAATGTAAATAATGTACATAATACTTCATCTCAGAAATATAGACAGATACTGAAGATCCGAAACGTTGAAATAAATATGGCGACAAAGATGAGGACAATAGTCTGAATAATTTACATAATACCTCATCTCAGAAATATAGACAGATACTGAAAGGCCGAAACGTTGAAATAAATATGACGACAAACATGAGGATAATAAACCGAATAATGTAAATAGTGTACATAAGACCTCATCTCGGAAATATAGACAAATATATAGGTGTTCAGGGTTCATATTTACAATGTTTAAATACATTAATGCAGGAATAAATGTCGAGTCTCAAATCCGACATTATTTTCCGAATCAACTAATATGAAGGTCAAGGAGGGAAGCAGACTTTCTTGGCTAATTTGAAGGCGCCGAATTCAAATATCGCCCCCATTTTTCATATTAGTTACCGGAAGACAGATATCCAGAGAGATGGAATGAAAGAATGATGGTAGATTACTGCTGGACCTGAAGTGAGACAAGTCTGTGGATTATCCGTAAAAATAAAAAAAAGCGAAACTTCTTGCCATCATTGATGTTTTTTAATTGCTAACTTCATATTTAATCTAAAATATGTTTGTGTTTTGAAACTTTATTTGATTTGCAGAGCTGTTCATTTTTTGCTTTTCAGACAAATCACTTGCAATAAGCAATTTTCCTGTTTTTGGCCATCATTTGAATCAACAAAACGAGAGCTAACTGAGAAAAATGGCTAGGATACTCAATTTCAACGTCATGAAATTCTTACAAATTAGCTATAACCTCACTTGCACCATTTAAAAAAAATTCGTAGGTCAGTTGATTCAATTTTAGGTGAAAATAACGGATGGAGTTGAACAGACCAACCGTGTTCCATATGTTTTTCCTGTGTTATTCTTGCAGTATGCGGCCTTCCACTATCATGGTGGAGAACAACATTTTTATTTTAATCCACTATATACGCAGCTATTGCCGTGCAAGACTAAGGTATAGTAGTGTTCTCCAAATCTATTCCTAACTGCCAGGTATTGATTAGTAAATATTAGGCAGTTTTATGAGAATGAATCTATTTAGGTCTTCCAGAGTTCGAATTCCAGTCGAATCAATTATATTCACTTACACGCTAATACCTTTGGGAAAGGTATGTATCCTCTTTTTCACCCCCCAGTTAAATAGCAGGACAGATCGGGTTCTATAGCTTTGGATAGCAACTGGTTTACCGCAGAAAAAAATGTCAACGTATTGCTGGAAAAAAAACTTCCTGGTCAGTCATATATCAAAAGACACATGATCGCCTAAGCGTGTATCACGCATGGCACATAACTGACTGATCCTTGGGAAAAGTATGAATCCTTTTTGTTATGATCCAGTTCCTTGTGCCACGGTGATAGTTCAAGGTAGAACCAATAAAGAAGCACTTGAACACGGATATGGAATAACACAGATATATTACAAACAGGAATATATACAGAGAAGTAGAAAGTGTTAGTACGAACAATCAGGTTTAGTAGGGAGAACAATGTAGTCTCGACCAGTATCACTATTCCAATGTTTTGCAGTAATTGTCTGAACGCGACTCTGTTTCGGACTGCCTCTGACTCGACTCTTGACTCGACTTGAACTACTGACCGACAGACTCCTGATGGACTTCATTCCAGACTTCAGACTGAACAGTATTTAGTCACCCCCCACGAGGGTATCATGTGGCACAAGGCCGATTTAACGTGGGATCTCCGATATGCCCTTTGAACCCGTATAAACGGGTTCAGGGTCGGTTTACCTCCCCGAAAAAGACTCCGCCCTTCGGAGTGGGGAGGAACCCGAACGTGGGTTCCTCCCCACCCGAAGGCAGAGAGTTCAACCGATCAGCCGGTCATCCGACTTCAGACTGAACTCCCTGCTTCCTCTTGAGGCGCACTATTTATTACGTATGGAATGTTATTATGGGTAAGGTCCCATAACACCCCCCTTCCGAACATTTTGCGTAGCAGGGTTTTTTTAATATCTTTTTTTTCTTTGGATCTATTTCCAAAGGTTCAGTAAATTTTCTTTTTCTAGATGATTTTCTTGGTTCTGGCATTATTTGCGGTCTTGTTATATCGAATGTGTCGAAAATCGTGTCCAATACCTCTTCTTGAGGTGGACCGTTAGCATCCTGTAACGGTCTCTTCCTTATTTGGTTTACCTGTCTTCTGTGTGAGAATTTTTTTCCTTGAACTATGTATATCATATTGCCAATTCTTTTCTCAATTATCACTTGTTCTCAGCAAGAGGTATTATTTTTGTATGCCTTAAGAAAACTTTTTTCCCCTGGGAGGAATTTTCTTTGTGGTGTGTAGGACTGTGTTACTTGTTTTGTTTTACTTGGTAGTAATTTATCGAACGCTGATCTGATTTTCTTAGCAAACATGATATCTGCTGGTGATAATGTTGATGGTGTCGCATTATTTGGCGTTATTCTATATACCTGTAGGAATTGCTGTAATGCTTTCTCCGTAGGCACATCGTACGCTTTTCGTAATGCTCTTTTGAGAGTGTCCACGAATCTCTCCGCTTGTCCATTTGATCTTGGATGGTAAGGCGGGGATTTTATATATTTTACTTGATAGATTTCGCAAAACTCTTGGAAATCTGTTGACGTGAATTGCGTTCCGTTGTCTGTTACTAAACAGTCCACTACGCCAAACCGAGCGAATAGCTCGTGGAGGAAATTTATGGTCGTTTCTGTAGTAGGATTTTTGCACCGAAACACCTCCGGCCATTTACTGTAGCTATCAACTATGATTAAATAGTAGAACCCGTCAATTGGTCCTGCATAATCTGCGTGTATTCTTGACCATGGACGATCAGTTTCAGGCCAAGGCTTATGTATGATTGGCAGTGCTTTAGCTGTTAAATTACAACCCTTGCACATTTCCACCATTTGAGAAATATCCTGGTCCATATTCTTTCAATATACATAGCTTCGCATTAGCGATTTCATTCTATTTTTACCCTCGGATTTTATCTTTTTCCGCGATAATGATCTCGCAATTTTATCCGTTTTTAACATGACAGGTTTGTTCAGTCTTCCTCATGTTTGTCGATTTATGATAGTTAAGTCTGAGCCAGAATCCAGCTGTAACCTAACTTTTCTGTTTTGAATTTCAACTTGTACATCTTTTCTTATATTAGTCTCATCTCTTTGGTCGGTCCTCGTAATTCTTATTCTGCTTTCTTTGCTATACCAACAGTGAGAACTTTTGTGATCAATTTTTTTACATGATAGACAAGTTTTAGTACGATATGTACAGTCTTTAACCCAATGCCAAGACCCACAACGATAGCATGGACTTGGTGGTAGTTTCTTTTTATGTTGATTATAATTAGAATAATTTGTTTTACCTGTTCTTGAGGCGGGAAAATCAGTTCGGTTTGTTTGTGAGGAGGGAA